AGATAATTTAGGGGGTCTTTAAAATATTTTAGGGGGTGTTCCAGCCCCCTTAAAATAGACCTAGTGATGCCACTGTGTATAAGTATAATGCAATTTAAGGCTTTGCACACTTATAAGCTCTTTCGTTTAAGACATGATTTTAAAACTTGAAATGACCACATTGTATTCATTATACTGTATGTACTATTTGAATGCATTTAGTATTTAATTTTGCRTATATATTGCACTGACAATCCAACACAGTTTGAACACATTTTATAAGTGATCAGAAACTTGCAAATAACTCATGAAAGAATAAAGTTATTAAAACCAAGCATAACATTGTTTTTCTTGTGACATTTTCAATAAGTTTGATGTGTTACATGACCCTCTTCCCACTGAAAAAAAAAACTAAAATTGGATCCAAAATGTCTGCCATGGTCACACCCCGTCTTGAAAAGTTTCTCCCCTCCCAAATACCAATGTGCCACAAACAGGAGGGTAATATCACCTACATTTCCCATTTTATTTAGGTGTATCCATATAAATAGTCCAATGAAAAGTGTCTTAAATGGTAAAGTTGTTGTTAATCATGTAAACCTTATCGAAACTAAAACAAGTCACCATGATTTGTTCACTACTGCCACATTTTTACAGTAGTACAGCAACCATCACAGYGGAGAAAAACAATGCTCTAATAGGCTTTAAAACAGCCTCACTGTTTAGCATTTAAAACTTTTTTGTTTGAGCTGTTATTTATTCATTTATTTATCATGTGATTCATCAGAGGGCTAAAAAAATGTTGCATATTTGGAAAATTATCAGTTCAAAATCAAAACTTGAACTTTAAAAAACTAAACAGGCAGGAATCAAAAAGCAGCATGGGACATTTAAAGGCAAGACAAACATAAATAAATAAAAACGTATTTAACATTAAATTATTAACATAAATTAACATAAATAAAACATAAGAACCTAAATAAAACATCAAAACACAAAACCAAGACAAAGACCCCAAACTAGAACAGCAATTAAGGTTACAAATATGCAATCTTTTTAGCTGATGCCCTTGTTTCATTTGACCAATTTTAAAATTACTATGGAGAGAATCATGAAACTCACCTGAATAACAAGAACCCAAATGCGAAGATAACAAAAGGTGACCACCGCGATGGGTACCAGAAAGTGAACCACCACWACCGCCACCGTGTAGGAACTGCTGACGTTCTGGGCAAAGGTGCACGAGTAGACCCTTGGGTCATAACGTAGTGAACCAACAAAAAAATTTGGAACAATGGCCACAATAGTAAGCACCCAAATTAAGGCAACAAAGAACAAAGTGTTGCGATAACTGTACAGCCGGCTGTAAGAGAATGAGTGACAGATATAGCAGTATCTGTTCACTGCAATTCCAGTGATGTTGAAAATGGACCCAATAACACTCAGCCCCATCAGGAAACCACTGACCTGGAAAAGGAAGAAAAAGAAAAGAAGGGTTTGTGCCAGTTTGTGTTTGAGGTGTAACCACTGGCATTTCAGTTATGATGAATTTAAACATTGACTGATGAGGGTTTTACCATGCACTGAGTGTTTCCAAGTGCCCAACCGTCATGGAAGAGAGCATAGAGGACCAGAGGATATGGGTAGAAGGCTACCACAAGGTCTGCAAATGCCAGGCTCACTACGAACACATTACCTAGAGGAAGACAAACAGAGAYGATTTTGATTATCCTAAACAAATTTACAGACCACAGGCTATAGGMCGAGTCATATTTTACTATACTAGATAATTATAACATCCTACTAACAATAGCCTTATCCTGTCTATAATGACTGCAATGATTTAACTTCCCATGTTCTAATCAAAACTTTGAAATTKGCCAGCCCACGAACAGACTTCAGCTTTATTGGCCRTGTCAAAATTCACAYGGRTTATCAGATTTTAATAGACATGCGGACTTTGTTCGCTATGAGCAGTTGAAGGTAGGCACCACTCAGCACYGCTTGAAACCAATTCTCATTGCTTTGCATTATACTCAGCTGTCAGAACTGAGTAAATACCAGACAGTTGCATGGGATGTGATTTCCATTGTACCTATCTCCAGACATCCAGCTTGGCTTGAAGACAGAGATTACAAAAGGTTTGTATCCRCTGCCCCACGGCCGATTGCCTCGCCCTAGACAAAGTTTTATCAGGACAGGCAGAGTCTCTGCTTTGACAGAGTATGTGGACACAGCACTGGGGGCATTCAGGTCCTTTTTCATCTCSCTGATCCCTGGTGTAATCCAAGGAGACCACATTTACATAACCTGAATCACATAAGTTCTTTGCTTAGTTTCAGTGTACAGTAGTGTGGCCTTGCAAAGCAAATGAATTCATTAAAGTTCATACTTTGTCTCCTTCTCCTGAATTCTTATCACTTAATCAGTTTATCAGGTGACATCCGTTTCCCTACATGCAGGGAAGCTACTGCAGGCAACTCCTCTATCTGTGTGTTTGTCCTCTTCCTTTTGTTTGTTACAACAAGACACATTACAGATTGCAGAAGACAGGGACAAGATAAATAACTTGATCAAAAACGCAGACTTTCATTGGCTCACCTCCAGATTCTTTGGAGGTTATGTAAGAGAAGAGAACCTAAATATGAAGAACACCACCTCTGTGGTAGTCTCTTGTGGATAGAACAGTCCTTATTGTGCACAGCTGCTTATGCCCCAATTTTTAGAAGAGGAAAAAAAATCAAAGAGGTCTTTTTTTTTTAGATGCTGCTGTTTGAATTTTAAATATACTGCTAAATTAGTTTGCTTGAGGTTTGGCTTTGTTACACATCACTGTTGGTTTTGTTCAGTGTGGTAATTGCTCAGGTTTTGCTCATTTCAGGAATTTTTTTTTGCTTTATGGTTTCCTTTGCATATTACAGTTTATGACACAATATTATTAAGAATGAGCATTTTATTTTACAGCTGTACTCCAATTTACATTAAACTATAATTTATTCTCACAATGAAATTAGAGYGTTCAACAGATATTCCTCTGTATTTTGAATGGGATAAGAGTACTTCACCTGACACACATCAAGTCACTATCAATCATTTGAATTTTTATGATTTCATATAAACATTACTCCACATTGTTTTTCTTCTTTGTCACTTTTGTAACAATGT